AGTTGTTTTAAATATTTTTTAATGATAACGTTTTTGATGATATCCGTGGTAAAAGATTTATTGATTTCATTTTTCTTTAAAATTACGCGACAAGTACCAACGAATTCCTCCCGAATTTAACTAGCAAAAAGTACATTTATTATTAAGTTTGACCGTTTTGAATTATTGTGAGGCATTGAATCAACTGTCTTCGTTGAAAATATTTTTTATAGAAACAAATTAAATACGGAATATTTTTAAAAGATTCTTTTGTATTCTCTATTTTCTCTGCACAAATCAAAAAAAAATTTAACAAAAAAAATTGTATATAAGATTTCCATATACTTAAAGTTAACGTACAAATATATTTGTACGGATTCACGGAACCGTTTTTTTTTCCCCTTAAAAGTTAAGTACTATATTTGGTTTGTAATTTAATCCTCTTTTTTTATAAGCTCAACATACGTTCGCATATACATCAGGCTTAAAATATTCAGAATACATTTTTCTCGCACTGCGTTAATATAAGGCTGTTTTAAAAACCATAATAGTACCTAAAATAATTTTTGCCATTGCACTGCTATCACAGATGATACCACAATGAGGGGCATGAATAAAAAAATAAATAATTGTTCAACAAATACTGGTATTGTTTTCACATAGACCGTGGTTTCCATGTAATCGATGCACAGCTTTGAAACCATTGATCTAAAATAACTCCTCTTCCGGATCCAACCGTATGTACTCATTTGGATATTACTTAAACGGCAAGTCGTGTACTACATTTTCATTGGTTTGGGATCAAGATAGCGGGTGGATAGGATCAAGACAACAAAACATTAAAAGTATGACGATTGTTTAAGAAATATATAGGCAAAACGTTGTTAGTACACTGCTTCTCCGGGTGAAGATTCGTCGATGTAAATATATATATACCCTTTAAGATAGTTAAATTATGCTCTATATAATAAAAAAGGTGTGCACCGCAGTTCTAGACGACTTAAAACACTACTTCTGACAGCTTTATATTCCTGTAATGCGTCACACGAAGATTTACTAATGTTTAGTAGTACTTCGGTAATGGTATCTCCATTAACCCATCACTTTGAATTCCCAAATCCCCGTGAGACAGCGCGAGATGCTCCTTTTGAATAATTATTTTAATGATATAATGAAATTTGAATACGTTTTGGAAATAAAAAAATTTCTTCCGTCATAGAATACACATATAATCGTCAATTTATTTAGAAATGGTGCATATATAATTTGGCGAAATAATGTAGACGTTTAAAAATAACTAATTCAATTAATGTACCATGTTTTTTTTTTGTATTTTTTTAGTATACCGCGTTTCCACTTCTGGTATTACACAAGAAAAAACATTTTATTATTTGATTTTCTATTTTACGTGAAGTTTTGAAGTACGTTTATTGGTTTTCTTTTTACATGAATATCATGTATAGAAATGATGTGATTTAATTTCATACAACTATCCGGACGGGTGTACATAACAAAATATTGAAAATATAAGTTAAATATTTATTTTTATCGTGAAATATTTCAATCGCATTATAATGCATTCCATCGTATGTAATGCCTTCGTGTAAAGTTCTACGGGATTCTGTAAATAAATGGATGGAACTCTCTTTTTTTTTTTTTAACATACAGAATTCATCTGAAAAAAAAACACCTCAGTATACGCGTGGAAGAGTTATTTTCAAAAATGAATAATAAAATAAACTCAAATGTAGAAATATAAAGCAGTCAGTTGTTGTTCCAATATCAATCAATCGATTTTCTTCCTAGCTTTTGATTACTTGGCATCAAAAGATTTATCGACATTATTTGTCCGATGAAAATGTCTTTCGACCTGTTAAGGAATTTTAACTATAACGTATTTGAACATTCCAAGGGCTTCTATGATCTCGTGAATTCGATGTAGATAATCAAAATAATTCACTGACATTTAGATTCTTACGCATAAATTTGGAATTCACTGGTTTGGTTGAATTTCGCTAAATTTTGTTCTTCGATAAATTGCATATATAATACGGTGTATATATATATATATATATAGTAGAAACTGACTAGTGCTCATTTTGCTGGGCGTCAAACATTTTTACTTTTGATGAAATTATCTTGTGTGTTTCTTACTACTGAGTATTTAAGATTCATTTTATTCCTTTTATACATATTATATAGCTAACCTGAAAACACTTTGCTATTGCTATATTTTTCACAGGTATATTTGACCCGGTAAACTTTGTATCAACTACAATTTATCCTTCTTTTATATATTTAGCTATCCCCCGTGAACATCGTTGAGCGTAATAGACATTGTACGGGTTAGATTTTCTGTTTTAATTATTTATTTTTAATTTTAGACACTTTTTTTTTAATAACATAGTAATCTTGTAAGGTAATAATAACCTAATTGGCGTGTCATTAGTGCATGTAATAAGGTCTTTTTTTTAAATATTAAAACACTATTTAAATTTATTTAGGAGTAAATAATATTTTTTGTTTTCAAACCATCTGGTAATATAATAAACTGATTTTTCCGGTTCACCTGTTATTGATAATCCCACATATGTATGTATATATCCGTGTGAAAAACAATCGGAGCGCAAATCAATACCAACATTTAATTTATTGAAATGTTTGGGCTTGAACCCTATTAATTGTAATAGCGAACGAAACTTTAATGGAGAATTTAAGTCCTTTTAACTGTTAAGGTAAATCAGTAGGATTCGTAGGTGTTCGGGGTATTATGAAAATTCCCCACATTATACAGTATTGTCGCCGTCACCGTAACGTATTTGATGACGACACGAAGAAAACACATTTTCTTTTATTATTATTTTCGGATATCAAATCAATTTTCCCACATCCTATTATACATTAAAATCTTCCCCGAGATGTGAACAATAATTGTTTATTGTATTAATTTAATAATTATTATTAAATTAATAAGTAAAAAAGAGACATAAAAATGTAAAAGAATATAAAAAGTTAGATCACCAAGACGATTGTGGTTCGAACTCAAGACACTGTGTTTTATAATCGTATTTATGAAATTCCAACTTATGTTATTGAAGTTAGTAGGATCCCTTTATGTTTCTAATAATAACTATAGTCTATTTTGCTCAGGAATAATGTAGCATTCTTGTAGTGAAAGAATTTTTTAAATACGTCCAGTAATTTTTGAGATTTTTGCGAACAAACAAACAAACGCTGTAATTAATTATGTAACGCAGTGGCGTCATTTGGGGGGTGGCAAGGTGGGCATTTGCCCCTGTTTGATTTTAAAAGTAATCCGATCGACCGATACCTGGTTGCTGCCGTTTAACTTTTTTTATCGAAAAAACGTCTATTTTTCTAAAATATTTTGAATAGATAATATTATATTAGGTATGTATTACGAAATTATTGAAAACAAATAAAGACAAATTAGAAAATTTTTAAAAATATTAAAGAAGTTATTATATTTTATTGAATAATAAGTAGGTAGTCCCTACCTATAATTACTGTTTTAATTTGTTATACATTAACTAAAGTAGACTGGGTTGGGATGGGCTCTATATATATTTCACTGAAGTAAGCTTAACTTATAAAATTATACTGCTGGTAAATATGGTCTTCAAAATTAGGTGGTGTAGGGGGTGACTGTTACGTGAATAAACAAATTATTTCAACTTTAATTTAAAGTGTGATATAAATTACATTTTTAATACGTATTTTGTATTTAATATTAAAAAAGGCTTTCTTTTTCAAGATTAAAGTAACAAAAAATACATATATTATAAAATAGATATATAAGATGGCATCTGTAATAACTAATAAAATAAAAATGTAAGTAGAAATTTTTTTGATAGCGAAGTGAATCGCTTTTTAGGTTACCTATATGGGTATAATATACTATGGGCAGGCCAAAACTTTTACTTTTGAACTCCCCCCCCCTCTGTTGAAAACTGAAATGACACCACTGATATAACGGTAAGATATGGAATATATAATACATTATAAATCAATACAATATATTATAAAATGTGTTATTGTGCATGCGTGCACGCTCGTGTCCATGTGTGCGTGTGTGTTCAATGTTTTATATTTTATATTTGATATTGATTTCTAAATGTATTTTTAAAGAAAAGTCAGTAACTCAGTATCATTAAAATTTTTTTTTTTTTTGTAATTTAATTCACATTATAATTTTTCCTGTATTAACGTATATAATCTTTCTGCATTGTATATTGTATTTTATAAAACAACGGAAAAAATTTCGTCTGGATCATTATAACAAAGTACAGTAATGTGATTTCATTGTATCGTATTAGAATAAAAAATATAAAAATGAAAAAACTAATAACGTATTACCGTAATTATATGCTTTAAACACTTATACGTATAATATTTAAAATTTTGTTTATTTCTATGTATCACCAAATATTCGAATGACTATTGTTCATACACTGACCCAGACAAGTTAATCTTATAAAAGCTCGTATTCGTGTTCGTCATCGTCGTGTTCATTATCTCAATATATTTTCATATTTTTTATAATATATACTACGTACCAAACACGATGCACTTCAACAATGATATAATTATCACCGTTTATTATTACTTAAATTTTATTGCAAGTGTTAAAAGTGATAATTGTAAATGTTTGCACAATATCTATTCGATTGCGAATTCCTCTGTTGAAAATATTTTTTACAAACACTTAACGAGTTGTAAACGCTAAAATTGATCTATTCGAAATTTGCTTTCTCATTAATTATTATAAAAATATATACTAGGATGGTAAATATTACGGGCATGTATTGACCTTATAGTACAAAGTAGTGAAGTAAAAAAAAATAAATATCTAAATATTATATTATTGTTGGCAAAAATGCTGTTTCGCTTCGATTCGCGATATTGAATAATTTATTACTTTTGTATTGTTTTTCCAATTAAATGTTTAAAAACTTATATTTATATAAGTTATATTTTTATTTATTGTTTCTGTCCAACAGGTTCGGTGTATGCTTGGACAACAAGAAAGAATATAAAGTGATCTATTCAACCCAAACCAACACTCAACGTTCAACGCCGATGCACAAACCTACGTTGTCATTGACATTGCAACAACCGTAGACAGAGAAAAACTATTCAATAGAAAACGTTTAAGTAACAGTTATCTCTAGAGATAACTGACTATATATTCATAAATATATTATATTATAAGTTATCCCTCGTGGTGGTAATCACTCCAAACCCAAATTTAATCTAAAATGAATAATTCAACAAAATAATACAATATCGTCAAATAACCTAACCCATGGTACACTCCACGTAAAATATTTAGTGGGTCTCGAAGTTTTTTGATTTTCATCCACATGAATAAATGTTTCAAAAACTTACTTAATTCATTTATCTGAAAACGTATAAAACTGTATCCTCATAATTTTTATTTAGTTTTCAATGCTACAATCGATATTTTTTAAAGTGCCATATATGTGACGTTAATCTAATTATCTATATTAATTTCTGCGTTCACTTTTTCGTAAAATCAAAAGCAACGGTTATGTAGACATACTTCAATCATTCGTACACAATACTCAACAATTCTTGCAACAGGACTTGTAAAAACTATATAATAATTATTTTATTTTTAATGCGTTTACGCATTATCACTTATTATTAATCATTAATCATAAAATAATTCTTATGAAAAATAAGTTTTTCGAGTTGATAATATAATATTTTTAAGCTAAATTTACCTACTAAAATACAATATACCGAAACTTAATAAAAATTGTACTATAATAAAATTCATAAGTATTCATATACGTGTATTCGAACACTTGAATAGACTGAACATAAAATTACTTTCAACCTAATGATATATTATTTTTAATTTTTTTTACTTGATTAAAAACATATTTTTATTTTTAATTCGTTTTACCGACTTTGAATTTAATAAACTATTGAACGTTCAAACAATCCATTGTTTAACACTATTAAAACACTCCTAGTTCTATGTGCCACTTCTACCTAATACAATTACAACTATTGTATATTATTACATTAACATAATATTATTTTTGTTCGTACGTTTACAGTAAACCCTTTACCAACAAATACGAAACCGTTTGTATGCATAGTCCACTACCGCAAACAGTGTTGTTCACGTAATTTGTATTCTTATGGCCACGCAATATTTATCGTTTCGTTCCTTTAAACTTAATCAATACAGTGTGATTCGATTTTAACGCGAATTCATGCTAGATCGCCACAACTTAACCGCCTATTGTAATATTATTAATTTTATTTATATTAAATCGAAAATATTGCTGTGACACCCGGTGAATAACAATTTAGTGACAATAATAGATCCTGTATGCATACAATTAACAATTACCCATGTATTATTTGTGTTCTGGTGCATTTAAATAATATGTATAAAGAAAAAATATTTGTAATTTTACTTGATAATTTTGTTTTTATTCCTATACAAACTGTTTTTTTGTAAGAAATAACTTAGATGTATTCGAATCAAATGTACTCATGTATCACTAAATAATTCGAGTCGTGTTTTAAGTTGATTTAATAATTCATTAATTGCCATTCATAATATGTTTATGTTCCCGTACATATTAGCCACACAATGTAAATAAATCGGATAAATAATTTTTCATCTTATACACACTAACTGCGTAATGACGTTTTGCTTATACTATTTAAGTTCATATCATAGACATAAAAAAATCAAAGCTTCTAATTTGTTTTTCACTGTTGTACAGTTAAAAGTTTAGTAATCCATAGCGAACGTTTGAAATCGATTTTCTGTTTAACTAAATCACACGTACTAACCACACGTTTCCTTACCAACCCATCAATATCTGTAGACTTCAGTTGGATCAAAAATCATAATAATTAATAATAATGACGATTTAATGGTCGGATATATGTTTAGTTACTAATTACACGACTGCGATTTATCACAAGTATTAATTAAAAGACATTTTTAATACGTTGAAAGCAGTACGAGTTTTCTCGCTTGATTACCGATATTTTCAATATCGGCAAAAGTACATCACATTTTTTGATATTATTTACCATATACTTACCTATTGTTGTTAAAATATAATCAACCGGATTGTATAATGTCATTCATGTGGAATTGAAACGTTCGTATGAACAACATTTCGCAATAAATTAAATCTTAGAATTTCAATTAAAATATAAATATAATACAAAAATAATTAAATATAACATGGCGTTCATTTTGATTAAAAGTTTCTATGACTTAGGTCACTCGTCTCGTTTAACGATTTTCAACGAGCCCTATATTAGTTTTAACGTTAACACCATTCCGGGTCGGCCATACATTTCCCTTTGAACCATTTGTACATCAATCTTGTGTTCACGCTAAAACCGCTTAAGTCAACGGAGGCGTTTAAAAATTTCGGATCCTGAAACACAATTCAATAATAATAATATTAAGTTTACCGATCGGTTCAAATGCAAAAGTATCGGTGTAGTTAATTAATGCCGATATTAAAATAATTAACGTTCGTGATTCCTTTTAAGATACGTATTTTTAAAAACAAGTCGAACGACGTCAATCAAGAGAAAAGCGCTCACAAATTTCGGTGGGAAAACTCGTTTACAGTCGTGTCGATCAATATGCTCCCGGTACGCGTTGGTCAAATGAATTCTTGTTTCACGGTCCATGTAAGGTCCACACAGTCGGCAGTCCTCGTTATCGGTGTCGCTCATACTGCAGTTCATTTCAGCGCACATTTTCGGATACGCCATAATGTTCTTCGTTGACACGGCCATGTTCAGGCTGTCTTCTTTACTAAACAGACACATATTACATACAATGTATACGATTTCAAACCGAAACAACAATAACAGTGATATCGATTAAGTGTAACCAAAAACAATACTATCAATAGTTGCATGTACATAAACGAGCGTTCAACTACCGTAGACAACTACTGAATTAACGTTTATTCTCGATTAGTTTCATTCGACGTTTGTTTGCGCCCGTTTCCCAAAAGTTATCTCCGAAAGTTATCATAAACATTTACATTTTTTATACGGTCAACTAAATTGTCGAACACTGATCGTTGGCTTGTTAGTAGCTTTACATTACAAATGGTTTTGCACCGTCTTCGTCAAATCTTTAACAAACCAACTTTTATCACTCGAGGTGTTCAACGTATTTAAGATACCTACTGAACGTATATTATGTGTTCAATACTTTACGTATTTATACGTATCTTATATGATTAATTAAATTAAATTTTACGTGATAAGTCGTTTACGAACAACTTATAAGTAGTATAGTTTAGTTTGACTCATTCAGAGTGACATCACGTTTTATAGATTCTACATTTTTCAAACAGTAAATGTGTTCAACCATTCAATATTAGTACACCAACTGACAATATTCTTGAAAATATCTCACGATCAAGATTTATCAATCAGTAACAATTTTAGTATTATATAAGTAGATGTTAATATAAAAATCCTAACGATTCTAGAGGTAGCTCTGACGTTACAAATAATATGTAGTGTAAGCATTATTACGTGAAATGTTTGTTAAACGATCTTATAGTAATAAACCAATACATTAATACATTAATACATTCTAAATAATTATTTGAAAACATTATTGCTCATATCTTATAGTTTTTAGTTAGGTTTTTTAGCATTAAAATAAGTAGCTAAATACTCTGAGTGCATGATTAAAATGTGTAAATTCGTTTCTATAACTTTAAAAACCATATTAATAATTTTAGTAACAATAATAAACATTAGATCTAACCGCTCAAAGTGGGTCAGTCCAACGATAGCGAATAAGTTAAATAATACTTGTTCGTAAATCAAACGATTTGGTGCATAATGAGCCGATGACAAATTTGGTGACATATTGACCTATAAATTAAAAATTAAAAGTATGAAACCGTAAGTAACTGATCAAATATTCTATATCTTATATCAAAAAATAACTTATAATTATAAAACTTGCCTCCATTATAAATACTTTTAGATCTTTGTCAACGACAAAGTCAAAACGTGCCATTTCAAAGAAATTTGTTTTCGACTTGTATTTTTTCATAAGATTTTTTATCATTGACTCTTTTTTTAAACATACAACTCGTATGGCATCTTCTAACTGGTCCCATATTTTTGTAGCATCTTTGCCTGTAAGCAGTTTAAAAAATACAGTACTTACTATATTATCTAATTAATTATTATATAGTTCAATACAAATATACCCATCGACTTCATAATCACCTAACGTTTTTAAATGTGATTCAACGGCTACTTTCATTGAAGCCTTTTGATGAACGTAATATTTTTTTAAGGACGGCACATTCCAAATAGGTAAATAATCATCTCCGACCACGTATTTGTCTATGTTGTTGGGATCAAACGGTTCGTATTTCACCGGACAAAATCTAAAAATATCTAAACATATTAAAACATGTCACATCTAACTAAAACATTATACATTATGTACAATCATTATTCTTGTTCCTTATAAAAAACCAACACAACTACTTACCTATAGAAAGTGAAACAAGTAAAAATACTTGGGTAACCATCCTATTTACAGTTCCTACAATTATAATTTTATTTTAGTCTATTTAGTTGACTTACGAGTATGTTTGTTTCTTACTCAAAAAGTATTTAGTTTAAAAAAATGTGGTACGCTAGATAACTACAGAATAAAATAACCAGAGTTAATAATCAACTTTATAACTACCCTATCGAGTATATACCCTAAAATATATACAAATATTTATAATGTTAAAGGTCAAAACAATCTAACTGTATATTTGATTAAAGCGATAAGTAGTTGTATAAGAAAGTGAAGTGATCGTAATTATTAAGGCAATGGTAAGTTATTTTTTATGTTTTTTTTTTTTTTTTAATTTGCAAATTGGTTGAATGATGAAATGATCCTCCATTTTTCTTTATCAAAGCAACTCCTTCAATTCTCAAAATGACATTTTTCCTACATCTAATAAAATTTATTTTATATATGACTGTCTAGGATTTTCTGGCTTCCCTAAGGGTTTTTCCTCGATTATAATCGCTATCCATGTATTGTTTCATATCGGATGTCTTATCCACTTAATTCTTCTCTCCACAATTGTCATGTTCATTACCAATCATAATTATTGAAACATTATTGTGTTTGTCTTTTAAAATGTTGAAATTTAATAATTGAATGTACAGTTTTGTCAAACGTAAATAATTTTAGTACATATTACATTTATAATTACTGTTTAAAAAGTATAATATTGTAAACTGTATTTACATAAGTTTATGTTCAATTTATTAGACCGATCACTTACTTCTTTTAATTGTTGTGTAATTATATTCAAATAAACAAAGTCACAATAATAATTTATACTGAATCATATGAACAAACATGGGTTCAAATCAAACACTGTAATAGCATGTCGACCGACCAAATGAAATATTATTAAATTATTTATAAGTAATTTGTATTAATTATGGAACAATGTTAAACACAATATTATATATTTCTCATTGTGCTTATATAATTATTACTTTATTAGTGTGAATTAGTTGACCGTTGAATTAAAGATATTTTTTATTCAATAAGTACTTTAATAATTCGTTTAATTGCAGTTGAGCAATTTATTTTACTCGTAAGAACACATACCATTGTATTATTAAATTTACTTAGAATAATTGATATATGAGATTTTTTCAACGAGCTAATTATTATTTTATTCTAAATTAATACAATTACTGAACTATGAGTGTAATAAAAAGATGCTGTAATTTTTTAGGTCCGAACGTTGAACGAAAACAATATGTTATAAAGGAATAAGGTACTTTTTGCAAGGAAAATATTACTGAATCTATGTAAAATTTACATATTGAAAAAATCAAATGAAATACCTGAACAGAATGTCTCCGTTGTACATATAAACTCTAAGTGGATCTATCGATGTAATGATGGTGTAAACTCCAATATCAAATTTATATCCATCAATTAACAAAGGATTATCAATGTATTCTTGGATAAACGTGCCCGTTGCATTAAAGTCCAATTGGTCAGGTGATTTAATTTTAATACCTCGGTGATTGTTTTGCTTTTGGACAAACAGCTTATGAGGATTTTTTTTCGCCTGTAACAATTATGTGTTTAAACTTAATTTTACACTTTACCCGTGATAACATAAAATGTTTATGAATAAATTGCCATCTACATAAAACATTATCAACTTCGACTTCGTTATCCATTAGATTTTACTTTCCATCGATTATTATGCAAATGTTATGTAAATATATATTGAGTCACGCCAATATTTAACTTAATTAAAAAACAATTGATTTTAAATAAAATTAAACTTAAGTGGAAAATGCACTTGAAACGCAATAACTCGCAAGGGAAAACGATTTACAGAAAATTTGAGTTAGTTAAAATGAAATGCATTTAAAGGCTTAAAAATACATAAAATGTAAGTCAAGATATTATTACTCGGCTATGATAGTAAATAAGAGAAATAATTTTTTTTTTTTTTTTAACTAAATATATTTTAATTGAATTATCTAAGGAAAAAAAATATAATAGAAAGTAAACGTACGAAAAAATATTAATAGAAATTTTAACTGAGTTACTTGTAAAATAATTGTCCCAATAAATCAGTAATTACACTTGTGCTAACTATTTACACAGAGTTTTTACCGATATTTAATTAATATAAACAGTTTGTGTAGAATACAATAAAAAAAGAATATAAATAGATTGTATGTAAAAATATAACTTACAAATTCAGAAAACTTTGATTTTTCTAATGGCATGTGGAAAGCTGGAGGTACGTACGCTATACTTGATGTGGCCAAATCAATTTTGTTGGTTATAAAACCGATGCCAGGGAAATGATTGACCTTTTAAAAAATAAAAATAGAGTATACAAAGTAAATGAAAATAGCTTACAATGTTAAGACTTAATTGATTTACCATATATATTAGCAGCGAATATAACTGTTAAAATACGGATAAATCAATTTTTGGTAATATTTTGTCGTTTAAAAGATAACAAATAGAAATATTTTCTAACAATTCTCAATTACACACTCGCCAGTGCAATTTATGCATTCTTATCATGTTTTCTCAGTTAATTCATAAAACGCAGTAGCATCGAATGCGACATATGTATATATTATTGAAATTGACAGTCGGATAATCTGGTCCAGTAGCAATAATTGTTGTCAATGGTTATTTATAACACTTTTTTAAGAGGATATTCAATCGAATAACTATGGTCAAAAACAATAATAATGGTTTAGTTCTAAGCGCAATAGTGTGATGCACTATGTGTTATAAAAATAATAACATACTAAAGAGGCTTTTAATGTCTTAAATATAATTTTTGTTTTTAAATATTATTTAAAGTTTAAAAACTTTTTTTTATAAATATAAAAAAGGCAAAACTCCTTAGTCGGGTGGAATTCTATAGTCGTGAATGATATTTTTGTTTTGGTATTTTAAATTTAAAACCAATGTGTCATTGCATTCGAAAAAATAATTCTAAGTAAAAAAGATCAGAAGAAACAGTTTATGTTTCAAAAAAATTAATTAAATAGGTTGATTAAACATTTATCGTTCGAACTTTCGCAAAAACAAAAAAGTATCTAAAATTTGGGAAAATCGAAAATGTCATGTTTCTATAAACAGTACGAATTTTATTAAAATATTTCAAAACTATAAAATATTTTGAACTAAATAACTAATATTGTTTAATGGAAATTCGTCTAAATATTTTAAATCAGCAAAATTTCACATCGTAATGCTTATAAAAAATTTTTGCGATTTTCCAATACATTTTATTTTTATTTTTTCTACTACAAATATATTATTATGACAAATAAAATATCCAACTCTTAAACCTTAACTATAACAATTTAAAACGTTATGAATTTTTTACTGAAAAATATGGTTAATATTCATAATTATTATTGATTTATCGAAATGTAATGTTTAAAATATCGTAATATATTTTTTTTTTAATCAAGCTTAATTTTTTTTTATAGTATAATGTAATATATATGAAGATGTTAGTGACAAATTTTCAAAATTTTATTCAAACTTAACTTGTCAGTACTAATTAGTCAACTATCAGAAATCTGTTATAACTGTGATAAAATTATTTTGGTCGAAATTATGTATCCAAATATAAAAAATAAAACACACACGTCATGGTAACACCAATATTTTCCGCGTTTCACTTAAAATCTAAAAAAAAAATTAGTTTCTAGGTACTAATATTAGGATATTACGGTTCAATTATCCAGAGATCTATATGAATATTCTACACAGTAAAATACAGTATTCAATTCGGATGTTTTGAGATCAGTTAAGATTCACCGTTAATAACCAAATATAATTATAATATCGTCCTTATCGAACAACTACTCATTTTATTAATTTAGGCCACCACAAATAATTTGTCGAAGCAACCCTAACGATGCTTATTGTCATACGTCTGGGCCGACCCGGCCATTTATTTTATGTTGTACTAGTCTTGTGCCATAGTTGATAAATGATAATTATTGACAGTATAATTGTACATGGAATACGTCGAATTCAGATGTTTCTATTTTAACAATTATTATATATGTATATAATTTATATAATACAATACATTATATAATTTATGTTGTAAGAATAGGTAATAGAAAATTATGAGAAATGTCTGAAAACATATTCCGCACAGTAATTTTAAATGCACTCAACCGTTTCATGAAAAGTCATTAATTTAATAAATAAGTTTTCTACACGATTGCAGCCCACAAAAAAAATCTGCAGAGCTTACTGAACTGATAGACATTGTGTACGAAAATATCATTATAATTAATGTATGCAAATGTGACATAATATAAATTTCAATACATTTGAACATACATCAACTCAAAAATCGATCGTAAATACTTAACGGTATAATGTAATACAGTACACGTGCACAACATTTTATCTACATTATACGTAGAGAGTTTTATACGTTTCGTCAAATTTATATGTACAGAACATTACCAGATACACGCACGTAATATATTGTACAAAATTAAAAAATAGATGATTTAAACTGATTTTTATCACGGGTAACAATCATTTTTTGTTCAATACTATTACTTGCAAAGGAAAAAACATTTCACTTTTACTATTCCACCTGATGCAAGTATATGTTTGTAAAATGATTTCCATTTTTAGTCTCACGACCAAATGCAAAATAATTTATTATTGATTATTTATTAAAATAGTTAATTCCTCTTAAGAGAAGCGAACATCGAATGTGTCTAGAAACAAGTAATATGCGGGCAGTGTTAATGCAAGAGCCGAAAAATCTTGCGGTAAACGAAAATCACAATTTAATATTAAAATACTATAAACCCAAACGATTTCCTTTATCGACCGCAAGAATCGATCGACACGGCTATCAATGTAGAACGGTAAGACGGTTCAGGTGCGGGGACGTTGAAAACTTACTTTTTGATGAGATTTCAGATCGGAGAAGTCGATGCGGTCGGCGTAAGTTTTGAACGGGTACTCGTGGGACCACAGCACGTCCCAATCGACCTTTTGGTCGAACGGTCTTCTGGTGTAACCGTAGACGTTGAACACGTCGAACACGTGCACCAGGTGTCCGGCATCGGGCTGAAAAAAAAAAAACCATGCGAACGGGTAAGCGGTGCGCGGGGGGGGGGGGGGAACGCGTCCGTCCGCGTTACACGGTCTTACGTTTTTCGCCAGTACCACGTAAGAGGGCCGCCGAGGTTGCCTCGTGGGCTCGTCGTCGGCGCGCCGCCCGGCCGGGTACGGCTGCTGCCCGTTGTGATGATACTTGTTGTGCTCGTATTGGATCGAGTTCAGTTGGAAGAAGTTGACGGCCAGCAGGACCGCGCACAGGACCAGCATGAAGCCGGTGACCAGCGGCAGGGAGAGCCACCGGATTCTTCTCATCGTCGGAGACGGCGGTTAAGGGACCGGGATTTCGCGAGCCGGCCGTGACGCGCGTGTGCCTCGTCGACATTACGCGCCGCACTGCGCTTGGTCGTCGTGGTCGGCGGTACACACGCGCGCGTAACAGGTCGCGTAGAAAGTAGGCCGGAGACCCGTTACTCGGCGCGCGAGCTCATCCTCGTTCCTTTCACCGTCTGGCCGGTTGGAGTCCGCGGCGGCCGTACCCGGACGTTGGCGCGTACAACAGGGCCGGGACACGAATCCGGTGGGCGGCGGCGGCGGCGTGTTGCGGACGCGTTACCGACGGACGGGACACGCGCGTCCGCGTGTTTTCTACGCTTTTTACCTGCAACGTGCCGCACGAACGGCACCGATAACGTTGCCGTAGCATATGTTTCTAGACCCATGTCTTGGTGAACCCATTGATGTTGTAAGTTCTCGAAAACGCTTTTGAAACTACTAGATCGCCGAATAACAATAGACTGTAATAGATATGGTTTAAAATCGGAGTTCGTTTAACAACCGTATTACGATTACATTTTTATTTATTAGATATCCACATTTTTTGTTTATATCAAGACAATTTTTTCATCTCAACATATTATGGCATTACATTAAAGCTAAACGGAGTCAGATAGTACCGAAAATGTTTTCCAAAAATTTTTTTTTTTTTTTTCAACTTTGATATCATAGGTCCTAATTTCACGTTCATTAATTTGTGTAAAACTAATATTTTTAGAAACGTATAGGTAATATCGACAGCTAATTGCCAAAACCTCGTAACTGGAATTTTTTTATATTTTTTAAAAATATCATTGGTAGCCTAAGTTTTACATGCTGTAAAAACGATTGTGGTGTTCATTGTGATACGGTTTAAATTGTAATTTCAAAACCTCGTTACTAGAAGTCGGAAAAAAAATACCAAGTTACGAGGTTTTGTTATAATCTTAATATTGTATTACTGAAAATGAATAAAATGAATAAACACGTACATCGGGTACTCATTATTGATATCCTAATATTCATATTAAGTTATTAAATTCATATATGTATGCGTTTATTATTTTAATGATTTATTTGAGCTTTACAATAACATATCACATTATTATCATTCTAATTAATATTTTAACACAACAAATTACTGCGTTGTCTTAATTTTATTTTATGCCACATTTCAAAATAGTTCGTTTAAAATGGAGATAGTTTTGATAAGATATTAATCGCCAAAGAACACCCGTACCAACAGGCTACTATAAAATTATACATAATACGATTTAAAATATTTATCACAGTAACAATCGTTAAATGTTATACAATTTATATCTTTACGATGTACTCGTAGATAAAGTTTATAGATTGTGTTCAGTTCAGTCTTATTTTTCTGTATTTTAAACTAAATTATTTCATTTTATTTTAACACCGGTTTGAAATATTTTAAGACCTATGTGGTCATTAATCAATAATTTATTTGATTTTGTTAATTAATTCAAAGACAGTTATTCATTCATTTAAAAATTAATTTAAATTATAATTCATATTTTATTTGATAAATAATGGCTTTTGCTTCATTTCTTAGCAACTATATTTGTTGTGGGATTGAAAATAAATCTACTTTGAAAAAGTCACAATAATTAGTGATGAGTGTAGTATCAAAACCGCAATATATTCTTGAGTAATACTCTTTTAAAGTCAGCAATTGATGATAAAATTGAAATTTCATAGCATTATCTAGAAAAAGGTCATACTCAGATAGAGGTAAATAATATATACGCCAAAATTGAATATAAATTAAAAAAAAGAGAAATATATCTTCCTATAGATTATTTAAGTGTTTGTTGAGATTCTAGATCTGCAAACTCTTACCAAATAAAATACCTTGATTGCACATGTTTTAAAGACTTTAAATCATTAAAAGAATACTCTTCAATAAGACCGGGTCATCGTCGTGGTGATCCTACTGCTAATGATGTTAGATGTTTAAATTATAGCCAAGATGGATTTATTCAATTTAAAATAAACTAGAATGATGAATGGAAATTAATGCCCCGAACACGAAATAATATCTGAACATCTGAATTACTTCTTTTGTACAAACATCATATTAAAATTAAATTTGAAAAATACAAGCATCTTCAAGAGCTTAAAAAAGTACTTCCCAATCATATATGGAATTTGTATACAAATTGCCTCACCATGAAAAATAAAACAATAATACGAGTATATACTGTATAATGAAATATTTGATTGTGTTATTATTTATTTATTATTATTTATTCATTATTTTTATTTAAAAGATACATTTACTTTAATTTTCATATTTATTTAAATATTATATACTATAGTTTAATATAAAGTTTTTAACTAACGGGATGTTATATTTTATCATGATTAAAAAAAACCTTGTATTTAAAAATAAAATTATGGCAAAAACTTATAACTAAAATAAAAATAAATTTACTATAAAAATTAAATTTTTTTTATTTAAAAATTGTACGTAATTGTAGAATTGATCAGTATTATAAAGTAACAGTTATATTATATTATATTAAATCAATCAAATGTCTTTTATCCCTCGTGAACGATATGTAAAAATTGAGTTAGAGGTTTTAGCACGTAGTTGTCAATATGGAAAACTGTTTATACAGCAACCTGACAGGTTTTACACTTAATTCTTTATATTTTGAAACAGAGGAGCCTATTGAAACATTTTTATCCAACCATACTCTGACTGCTAAATATTTTTGTGTTATTAATGACCTTATTGCATTTTCAGAACAATCTCCCCAAACTATTAATCCATATTGGATAATTGATTTATATAACGCAATATATACAGTAAAAATGGTTCCTTTGGATTGAATTTTGTTTAGTTTATACATTTTGAAGATAACAGACCTTAGGCGCATAAACAAACCCGAAACATGTATTTCCCACCTTAAGTTCCAGTCAAAAATTAAACCTAGATATTTAACTCTAGTTGCTTTAATTATTTTTTGGCAATCATATGAGGTTGACAATATATTGTTTGTATCACAAGAATCTATAACAATATCGTCTATGGGTATATAAAATATTAGTTATGGACAGTAGTGCCCACGTAGGGGTATCAAGTAGTGCAATTGTACTGATTTCTCATGGGTCCTAGGGCCTATATACATATGAGAGACTCACTCTGGTCTCTGGAGCAAACATTTTAAATGCACAACTATTCATTTTCGTGTAATGTGACCCAAATGCTTATGTTTGCACGGTGTTACTGTACCATTCGCGCGTGTTCGGCTCACGATGCTGTCGATCCATCGGAGTGTCGGTATTTTTACGAACATCATAGGAAAGTTACATTACGAGACAACGCTAGTAAAAACCGTAATCCAGTTGCTCGAAGCGAATCATCCGATTATATTGAAATTCTCATTTGAACTGCTTTTGTTAGATCCAGTGAGTTGGTTAATAAGTTTCCACATCAATTTGAGGTCAGAGATTGTATTAGAACATTTTTACAACAATTTTTAACAAACATATTCTTTTAATATCTTACATAATTGAAATTTATCGAAGTTATTTATGGTAGCAAAAATAGAAATTTGTATGGCTCCTTAGTAAAAAAAAAAAATAATAACCATAATTTGATAAGTTATATTTCAATGAATGTGTTATAACATTCTTGTTATGACATTTTATGTTTTCCTCATATCATAAAAATAAATTATAATAGATTAAACTATTATAAATATTTATCGTCAAAATGTATGCATAAATAACGTAAGTTAATATTTGCAAAATCATCGTTTTTACATTGCGATTAAAGTACATCATATATAAATAGATACAAAAAAAATCCAAAAACATTATATGAGCAGTACAACTGGACATAATAAGAACAACAAATGTACGATAGGCAACTAATTATGCTCATATGTTTAGTAAATGTTATATTACCTATTTTAAAGGTTTTGCTAATTTCGTCTTTCTGTCGTCCCATGTTTATCATAAATATATTTATATTATATTATTTATTTTATATTAATATTATTATGATAGAAATGTATTACACACTACTTAATAAACTATTATTTACTTATAAAATATAATCAAAAATTATGTCCCGATGTCTAAATTTTTTATACGTTCGATTTAGGTAAATATAATGTCCATTTACGTAATTTAACTTATCTCATTCGTTCTGTATACGTTCAGTGATTAGTTTTGGTATAGTCAATATGTATGGTACATACCTTGATCGTCTCCAGTAGAAGAGAAAAAATACACCAAAATCTCATTTACTCTTCACATTTTGTATTTGAACAAAATTCAAATCAGTTGAAATAAACAAAATGTATGTAATGATTCACAAAAATCCATACGAAATCAGATTTTAAGACAAAATTATAAAATTTTATCAAACAAAAAGAAAATTACGTACTAGAATAATTAGATTAAGCTGGTTTAGTAGATAATTAATCCAATAATGTATATTATTTCTGGGTGATAACCGAAACACAATATACAATAGGTTAAATGAATTATGATTGAAAATAATATCAAACTGATTATAGTTAAAAACAGTTAACTTTATTCACTGACTAAATAAATTATTTGAGTATGAAAAATCGTAATTTGTATTAATTTGTCGTAAGTATCGCGACAGAGCCAACAATTGTTTATACCACGGGATTACGTTGGTGAAAGATACGTAAGAAATGTTAAAAGCGTGGTAGGTATTACACCATTTGATATTTCATTCAAAATTTAAGTTTTTAAATGTTGATTGCTAGTAAAATATATATATATATATATATATATATATATTTGTATAGATTAACATACACAATTTGTTGTGCCAACACTATGGTTCAGTGCCGATTGGTAGAAGGCATTGGATACACGTGTGCAATTCATTTCTCTCCCTTACTTGCTCTTTCTTTCTCTAAAACTTTCTTTTTTTTTTTTTTTTGGCAAGTACACAACAAACACGCGCATTGATATATATATATATAAGTATATATATACATGATATAAATGCATATAATAATAATATTGTGAGTAACGAAAATACGAAAATGTTATGCGCATATTCCTTTGAAATAAAATCCTCTGGT